AAATTATAAATTATGTACTATGCATGGAATTATGTGCCAATTTTAAATTTAAACTAATAGATTTCTTTCCATATTTAGTAACCATTAAATTTGAATTTTAAAATAAATTAGTAGTATATTTTTCATTCGAAAGTCATAAATTAAGGATTATTATAATGAATAATAATATTATTATTTTTGCTTGAATGAGGCTAGCCAATAAAAAAATTAATTATTTAAAATAAAAAAATTAGAAATTTTGGAATGAGAGTTTAGAATTCTTAATTTATTTATTTATTAAAAACTCCCTTTTCCTATATATAGATAGATATAGATGTATGTGTGTGTTTTTGTGTGTGGTAATTTATTGACACCCATTGACACCCAAAAAAAAAAAAAAAAGGCCACATATTCACATGGGTGGGAAGGTAGGCAGGGAGAGGAAGACAATGTTGGGGTGTACAATAATGCAAAATTTTCATTAATTCTTGCAAGTTGGATATGATGTGTATCAATGAGGTTTGATACATTTTCTTTCCATAGATCTAAAAGTAACATAATATTAATTAATGCTTTTATTTAAGGAAAAATCAAACAAATTTTCTTTTTTAAAAATACTACAACCAATTCACACTCATTTCTCTATCAAATAAATGTCTCTAAGTGTAGATCTAATTAATTATCATGAATTAATTATTTCTTATCGTGTCTGGCGGTAAATAATTTTCCGAGAACTTCACTAATCATTTTTTGATTTATGACGCAACTGGTACATTTTGGAAGATGACCGAACCTCATTTTTGTGGTTAATCAAATGACTTTTTATGACTTAATTCCACTTTTAGCTATATAAAAAAAAAAATTCATGAAAAAAAAATTAAAAAAAAAAACTTAAGGAGGAATTTATGGAGGGAAATAAACAAAAAAAATGAAAATTTGAAAAAAAAAAACTTAAGCTTATTTCTTCTTTTTTCTTTTCTTCCTACAAACCTCTTCGCAAATCTAATATCCAAACTTGACCTAAAACAAAATTTACCTCGAATGTGTTAAAAGAAATATCATCAAATTTAAGAGTCATCGAGGAGGCCTACCACTACAATCTTTTTTTAACATTCCATAAAAGAGAAATAGGTGAAACAAATACTGAATTACATAACAATGACTTTGTTTGGTATATATTATTAGAAGTTAAAAGTTGATAATTATAAAATAGAAATTAAAATATGAGCTTTCAGATAGTCAATTTTTTTTCTTCAATTTATTTAAGTTATTTTTGCCTAATAAGTTAGAAGTAGAAGTTGCATCAAACAGTTTGGCACAAATTTTTAAATTAAAATAAATTATAATCACCTCTTTTAAATTGTAACAATTACCTTGAGTGAGAATTGAAATCAGCCATTACACAAATAACTAATTTCCAACCATGGTTTTAGGTTTCAAGACTCCTTATTTTCTTTATAAATTGCGAATGAAAAATAAATATATGCATACAAGCATTTATAAAAATATAATAGAAGAAATAAAGTAAAATTAAATTCTCAATTGGGATGAAGTGTATTACAAAATAAATAAATAAATGTAATAATTACTTGGTTTAGAGACATTAGTATTACTATCTTGGTTATTGGAATCTTGAGTTTCACTCTTTGATATTGCGGTGGTGGCGTTTGTCGGGATTGTGATTTTGGCATTAAAATATAAATAAATAAAGTCATCTCAAATATACTAGTTTTTTTTTAACTCATATTTTAGCTAAATAGTCAAAAAGTTACTAAATTAACATGTTTCCAAACGAGGCCTAAATCTTAAGAGCAGAATCTCCTCTAGTCTAAAAAGTTGGACTAGATGGCACCGTTTAAACCCATGGAACTCACTACAGCCTTATTTTAATAATTTAAATCGTTCATGTTGTCAAATATTTTATGTATTTCATTTACATAAAAATTTAAGTAATTATAAATTGTTCAATTTAAGGCCCTTTTAACCAAAAAAATTTATGATTTATTTTTAAAAACACAATTTTTTGGTTAAAAATACAATGAATTGAACAAGTTACAGTTATTGGATTGATTTAATTTTTTGTGTGGATAAAATACACACAGTATCCGACAATATAAACGATTCAGATTATCAAAACGAGACCCGTAATAGGTCCCGTGAGCCCAAACAGTGCCTTCCAATCTAAAATCTGAACTAGAGTAACTACTCGACAATGAATTCTAGTAACGGCATTTTTTGGCATTTACTTCTGTTATGTTGCCCTAATAGTTAAAATGTTATATTTCTGTATTGTATTATAACTTTGTCAAAATATAGTGAAACTGCAACTACTATGAACCTAGTCTTATTTTCAGGTGAACCACATAAATTGTTATATTCTTCTATGCTTTATTTAGATTCTTATTCAATCGTTTTTTTTTTTTTTTTTTCTTCGTGTCTCATTAATTTTGGTTAGATTTATTAATTCTTAACAATAATCTTTGTCAAAGAATTAGATTTTGGTAGCTTAAAAGTTGGATTAGATTTCCTCTGCCGGCGCTGTTGGGCTTCGAAGAGAGTTGGACAAAAAAGTGGAAATTTTTACAAGCGACACAAAAGAAAAGAAAGCCAAAAAAGAAAATTTATATTTTAGCATGCACTTGATTAAGAAAAAAAATTGTAAGAAAATTATAACAATTAGCTATTTTTACGCGAAAATAAAGTTTTTCTGAAATTTTTATTAAAACCTGAAAAGTAAGTTATCATATATGTTAATATAAATTGTATAAGAAATTTGTTTTTATTTTTATTTTTTCATTTTCTATCATTCTCGTACTTTTTATTATATCAATAAAGTTTATTTTTTAATGTTAGTAATTAATTTCCATGTTTTGCATTATTTGATGATAGGCAACTATTGATGCCGGCATGTTTGAATTTAATAATCCTGTTGTTCGAATTATTTGATGATATGCAATTGGTAATGCCATGTTGTACTAAAATTTAGAAAGGATATTAGAGCCCTAGTGACCCTAAATTTGGTGGATAAATAAAGTTTGGCCATTTTTTCTTTTTATAGAAAATTAGGCTGAATTTTACAAAAGTTTATGTTTATTGTTTTGCTAAATGAGTCTAAAACAACTCCAAAAAAAAATCTTGGTAAAGATCAATGATATTCACTGTCCTCTTTTAGCTGCTCATATTTTTTATTTTTTTTTGTCATCCCTTCTCTTAAGGATCTTTTGTCATTTCATTGTTTTTAGAGAGGTTATTGTCATTTAGCCAAACAAAAATTTAAAAGTTAATCTGTGTGTTTGGTTTTAATTTTTTGAAAATTAAATTTTTTATTTTTCATATTTTTTTATTTTTAGTGAATATTTTTAAAATTTTAAGTAATTTTTTTACTTTTTTAGATATACCTTATTTAGATGTAGCTAAATAGTAAAATATTTGTAAAAGAATATTTTAAAAAATAAATAAATACACAAAATTTTTAAAAATGTACTGAATTTTTATATTTTTTGGTATTTAGTGTATTCTTTAAAAAAAAAATTTCTTATAAATATTATACTTTTTAAGTGTATTTATGTTAGGTGTGTCTAAAATTAAAAAGATTTGCTTAAAATATTAAAAAAATTCATTGAAAATATTAAAATACGGAAAATAAAAAAAAATTGAATTTTCTAAAAATCAGAACCAAACAAGCTGAATAATATTATACAGACAAAGTGGGAATAGTATTATACAGACTATTGTGTCTCACCTCCCCATGGGACACAATAGTTCAATGGATTAAGGACTAATAGTCTAGTACAAAAATTTTGAACCAAACAACGGATTATCAGTCTAGATGGATTAATAGCCCAATCCCACCTCTCAATCTCTCAAAACAAAGACCACCTTAGGGTAGAGAGAGAGGTAAGGAAGTGAAAGGGGTGAGGTGTTGGTGGTAATGTTGTAGTGAGGGTTGAGGAGGTTTAAATGACGGAGGGAGGAACATAAAGTGAAGTAGAGGAGGGAAGGAAGGGTTCAAAGGTAATAAGGGGAATATAGACAAGAGATGGACAAAAATGAAATGTAGAAGAAAAAAAAGAGAGAAATAAGTTTGGGTTTGAATCAGGTGAATTAAGATCCAAATGGTGCCGTATGTTGACAAAGTGGTGTCATATGCTTGTTAATGTGACATTTTTCGTTTATATTTATATTGAAGTTGGGGATTAGACAAAATTGAGTACGATTAGGGCATTGTTTGGGAACTTGGTTTGGGGCTAAAATAGCCACAAAAAACAAAATAGGCTATTTTAGCCACAAAAAACAAAATATCAAATCCAACCCATAATCATTACAATCCCCTCTCATAAAAAAAGTCAAAAAAGTCAAAAAGCCAAAAAGCCTTTCCCAAACCAGGCTAAAATAGCTCAGGCTAAAATAGCCAAAAAGTCAAAAAGCCAAAAAGCCAACCCACTTCCCAAACGGAGGCTAGATTTGCTTATTTTTGTGAAGTAAAATTAATAAAAAAAAATATTTTAATCAATTTAAATATATATAAAACGTTTAGAATGTTATTTTTTTATTAAGTTTAATAATTAAAATATTCTTATTTTTTATCGATTAACGAAATAGACAAATATTTAGATTTAAAACAAATTCAAAATTTAAAATTTAAATTGACAAAATTAAAAATTAAAGATATATTTTAAGTGTCAAATCTTAAATTATTATTTTTTTTAAAAAAATAATTTTCCCAAAACAGTAAATAAAGAAAGAAGTGATCATACATATACATATTTACAATGCATACACACCATGCACTCCACCAACCACCACCGCTTCAAGTTTGACGGGTAAAAAAACAAGAAAATATGATGCATCCTCCTCGCATTAGAATCCCACAAAAATCACACCTACGTGTCAACAATCCTACCTGTCAGCTTACAATTGAATCCAACGGCCAAGAAAATGTTTCAACTAACACCCCCAGCTTCTCACCCAACACTCTTTGAGACGCACCTTCTATTTATACTTAAACAACCCCCAAAACTGGTGAACCACCCTCAGCCTCAGCCTCAGCCTCAGCTCACCATATATTCATTCATTTAGTATATATTGAATTGATTTCCCATTTCACATATATTCATTTAGTATATATAACCCATCTCATCTCTCTCTAAATCCCTCTTCATTTTCGTTGCTCAAAAAAACGTTTTCTGTGTGGTTTTTCTGTTGACGATGGAGTTTTGTCACGAAAATGGCAACGGGCATGGCCACGTGATTAAAGATCCATTGAGTTGGGAATTAGCCGCGGAGTCAATGAAGGGGAGCCACTTGGATGAAGTAAAAAGGATGGTCAGAGAGTTTCGCCAGCCGGCCATCCGCCTAGGCGGGGAGACCCTCACCATTTCTCAGGTGGCGGCCGTGGCGGCGGGATGCCTGCCGGTGAAGCTCAGCGAGGCGGCTAGAGCCGCCGTTCAAGCAAGCAGTGAGTGGGTTATGGAGAGCATGAATAAAGGAACAGATAGTTATGGCGTTACCACTGGGTTTGGTGCTACTTCTCATAGGAGGACTAAACAAGGTGGTGCTCTTCAAAAGGAGCTCATCAGGTGAAACATTATTTACTTATATGTATAATAATTGTCCTCATTTTGTGTCCTAATAACAAGATTAGTGGATCTTAATCACAATTAGATTTCGTTCCCTCGATTCGGTAATTCAATTCACTACAAAAAAAACTTAACTCATTCGGCAAACGCTTGTTATCGTTTGGCCGTGACTTTTTTAATTAACTTTTTAAATTTTTTTAACTTAAGATTTTTTTAATTATTTATGTCTCGTTTGGCAAGTGTTTCTTTTAGTTAAAAAGTCAAAAAGTTACTAAAAAAATTAAAAAGTCAACAATCCATACCAAAAAGTTATCACAAACATATAGTTTTTTTTACATCACATTTTAAGTCTCGTTTGGGAACAGACTTTTTAGTAACTTTTTGACTTTTTAGCTAAAATGTGATGTAAAAAAAATTAGAATGTTTGGGATGAATTTTTGACTTTTTACGAAAAGATGTGCAAAAAGTAGAGAGAATAGGAAATTTTTGACTTTTTAGTATAAGTTATTGGTTTTTTGATTTTTTTAATAACTTTTTGACTTTTTAACCAAAAAAATCACTTGCCAAACGAGGCCTAGTATTCTTGTTTGGCTTTTTGACTTTGAAATGACAAATTTTTTTTTGCCTTTATGTAATTTTTGTCCTTTTGTGATTTTTTAATTTTTTTTTGTCATTTTGTGATTTTTTCGCCCAACTCAAAAAACAAACACCCCTTTGTAAAGTCTATAAATAAATAAATAAATAAGAATGTGCCTAACAAATTAATTTTTTCCAAAAATAACCTTTTTGTAGATTTGTTTTTAATCAATAATGGGGAGGTGTTTATAACTTTTCTTATTTTGAAAATCTACGTCGGAGTGTAGGTGACCTGAGACTTTTTTGATTGTTTGATATTATGTTTGGTTTTTTGACTTTGGAATGACAATTATTTTTTGTCTTTTTATGATTTTTGTCCTTTTGTGATTTTTTGACTTTTTTTTAAATTTTTTGTGATTTTTTAACCTAACTCAAAAAGCAAACGACCCCTTTGTAAAGTCTATATATAAATAAATAAGAATGTGCCTAACAAATTAATTTTTTCCAAAAATAACCTTTTTGTTGATTTACTTTTAATCAATAATAGGGCGCTGTTTATAACTTTTCTTATTTTGAAAATCTACGTAGGAGTCTTAGTGTTTGGCCTACCATTTGTGAGCCAGAAACTGCTTTAAAAAGTTTTAAAAATTGATTATTAAGAATTTTTAATTTTTGATTATAACATCAAACAAGCTGTATGTTAGCTTTAAAAAGTAATAATTATATAGACAGTTGTGAGGGTAGGTGTCCTTCGGTGGTTACATTTATGTAGAAATCTAGTGGCCATGAAATGTCCCAAAATTTAATTCATGATCTGCCCTTGTGACAAAATTACCCTTTTGGCCTTATCCCAAGATAAACAAAAATGATTAGTTATGAGAAGGATCTTTCATTCTGTTTTGTAGGGAGCCAAATGCAGAAAAAAACTCCAAAAATATACCAATTAGGTTTTAAAAAATTATCAAATTGACTCATCTAAGGATTGTCTGTATGTACAAGGTTATGCAAGGGATAGTCTTAATTAGTTTACTGCATAATCCTAAAAAACTTTCAGCAACAGAAAATTTTACAGAAATTTATACATACATTCACAAAATTGCATTGAAAAATATTAGAGATCTCAAAAAATTTATTAAAATTTTTATCAAATGTCTTACATAAATATGAAATCCACACTATATAAATCCCATATAGACTTCATACCTATATAAAATATTTAATAAAAATTTTAATAAATCTTTTGACATCTCTAATCTTACTCAATTACATTTGGCCCTTCGATTAGAGGTGAGCTCTAGGTTTGCAACTCTGGGAGTGTCTGCGCAACTTTCTATGCAAACGTTGTACGAATTGCTTAGGTGGCTTTGGATGTTACACGATCACGTGACTCACGCCCAACACCCCCAACAACATCAAATAATTTTGGATAAATTATACTTATTTCTCTTAAAATTTAAAAAATAAAAATAAATGTAAACTTTAATTTTTAATATAATTATATTGACATCACTTTTAATAAAATTAAAATGATCAAAACTAATACATGTGATCAATAGATATTGAAATAAATAAAGATAAATATACATTTTAGTAAAAGTAGTTGACAATATTATTTTTTTATTCGTATGACTAACAAATTATTAATAAAAATAAGTTTAATTGTTGTGTAAATTAAGCCTTTAGAAGAGACTATAGTGTAAGTATAATTTATATGAAAAGTGTGGAAGGTTAACTGTAATTTTAAAAATTTTATGGGAGGAATAAATTTTCATGTAAAACAATGCAATGCAAAGCAATACACGTGGTTAGTTTTTATTTTTACTTTTATTTTTTTTGGGCGAAGATATGGTTAAAAAATGTGGGGGAGTGCAATGAAATATGGGCTTGGGGGTCAAACTGGCATTGAAGTTTCCCCAACGAATAATTTAGTGGCTGTCCTTTTTTGAGCCAGTTATTACTAAACTTACCAAATTTCATGGCATAAAACTTCCTAGATTTTGACTATGTTTTGATAAAACTGTCTTTAGTAAAATAATAATAATAATAATTTGTGTCAAAAAATTTTTTTTTTCTTTTTTCAGGTCTCCCTAATCTGGAAGAATTTAAAAGTATTTTTTTTGTTAAATTCATTGAAGACAAAAAAAAAAAAGAGAGAGAAAAATTTTTATTATTTTTTTCCAGGTCTTTTAAATTATTATTTTTTTCTTGCAACAGATTTTTGACAAAAGTGTTTTCTTGCAACAGATTTTTGAATGCTGGAATATTTGGAAATGGGACAGAGTCATGCCACACATTGCCTCACTCATCTACGAGGGCTGCAATGTTAGTGAGAATCAACACACTCCTTCAAGGCTACTCTGGCATCAGATTTGAAATCCTTGAAGCCCTCACAAAACTCATCAACCACAACATCACTCCATGCTTGCCTCTCCGCGGCACAATCACCGCCTCTGGCGACCTAGTCCCCCTATCTTACATCGCCGGGGTTCTAACAGGCCGGCCCAACTCGAAATGTGTTGGGCCCACCGGAGAACCCCTTGATGCCACTGAAGCATTCCGTCGGGCCGGTATTGATGGCGGGTTTTTTGAGTTGCAGCCCAAAGAAGGCCTTGCACTTGTCAATGGCACAGCTGTTGGGTCTGGATTGGCCTCAATTGTCCTCTTTGATGCCAATGTATTAGCCGTTTTGTCTGTAGTTTTGTCAGCGATTTTCGCCGAGGTTATGCAAGGGAAACCGGAGTTTACGGACCATTTGACACACAAATTGAAGCACCATCCTGGCCAAATTGAGGCTGCAGCTATAATGGAACATGTTTTAGATGGTAGTTCTTATGTCAAGGCAGCCCAAAAGTTGCATGAAATGGACCCGCTTCAAAAGCCCAAACAAGACCGGTACGCTCTCCGAACCTCCCCTCAGTGGTTGGGTCCACTGATTGAAGTCATTCGATCATCGACCAAGTCCATTGAGAGGGAGATAAATTCGGTGAACGACAACCCCTTGATCGACGTGTCGAGGAACAAGGCCTTACATGGTGGGAATTTCCAAGGCACCCCAATTGGTGTCTCAATGGACAACACTAGGCTGGCTTTGGCATCAATTGGGAAACTCATGTTTGCACAATTTTCAGAGCTAGTGAATGACTTTTACAATAATGGGTTGCCTTCAAATCTGTCCGGTGGCCGAAACCCTAGCTTGGATTACGGATTTAAGGGCGCAGAGATAGCTATGGCGGCCTATTGTTCTGAACTCCAATTTCTTGCTAACCCGGTCACGAACCATGTCCAAAGCGCCGAGCAACACAACCAAGATGTCAACTCTTTGGGGCTAATCTCCTCACGAAAAACAGCCGAAGCAATCGATATCTTGAAGCTCATGTCATCTACCTACTTGGTTGGGCTTTGCCAAGCCATTGATTTGAGGTATTTGGAGGAGAATTTGAAGAACACAGTGAGGAACACAGTAAGCCAAGTGGCTAAGAAAGTCCTCACAATGGGCATCAATGGGGAGCTTCACCCTTCAAGGTTTTGCGAGAAGGACTTGATTAAAGTTGTTGATCACGAGCACATTTTCACATATATCGATGACCCTTGCAGTGCTACATACCCATTGATGCAAAAACTAAGACAAGTCCTTGTCGATCACGCTTTGATCAACAACGATGACACCAAGAACATGAACGCATCCATCTTTTTAAAGATTGGAGCTTTTGAGGAAGAATTAAAGACCCAATTGCCAAAGGAAGTTGAGTGCACAAGAAGTGCTTTGGAGAGTGGAAATCCAACGATTCCAAACAGGATCAAAGATTGTAGATCTTACCCATTGTACAAGTTTGTGAGGGAGGAATTGGGGACTGGGTTTTTGACAGGAGAGAAGATCGTGTCGCCGGGTGAGGAATTTGACAAAGTTTTTACTGCGATTTGCAATGGGAAGATGATCGATCCGCTGCTCGAATGTCTCAAGGAATGGAACGGTGCTCCTCTTCCAATATGTTAAGATCATCATGGACCAAAAAATTGTTCAAATTTCTGTTATATTACTGTTACAACTGTTTTTGTAATTTGGATTATATAATGGGATTACTGTCATTAGTCTTTTAATATTAAGCTGTGTCTTTTTTTATTTTTTATTTTTATTTTTACTCTTGTGTTTTATTTTTTTTTCTGAATTTATGTACAGCAAGGATTCTAGTTTTTTTGGTTCAGGTTTTGATTTGCAACTTTGACCTACTTGGTACTGTTTTCGATTTTGTTTTCATTTTCTTGGAAACAATATTTTGACAAACTGCTTTGAAGAAAAAAAATTCTGAAAACAGAATATTTTGGTTTTATTTAATGAACTATAGTTTCTTTAAAATATTAATTATTGTATTAAAAAATATATATTTATTTAAAGAATGAAAGAAATAAGCAAATGTCTAACATGTGGAGCCTGTTGTAAGTTAAAAATTGCTAATCACAAGCAAACCAAAACCACTACTCCCCTAACTCATAGATAATTAATTTTTTTTTAAATAAGTCATAAACAAAAACTGTATCAAAGAGTGACTCTCAAATTAAAATAAATTATAAATAACTTGTTTAATGTACAGCAAAAACCCCTATAATGAACACCAAAAACTCCATATCCCCGTGCAAATTATTGCCCAATCCAAAAGTGTCTCCTAAATCATACAATTATAGTGATTTTTTTTTGTTGTTACTTCATAAGACATTTTTTCTCATAATAACCGATAAGCAAACTAGTGAGTAACCAAAAAAATGTATTCAAAATTTTACTCATAATTACTCCTAAGAAAAAATATTCAAATTTTATTCAAAACATCTTAGTATATATCTGTTTGCTACATATTTTGTACAAACCAATCACAGTTCAGCACATGACAGAACGAGGGCAGTACGAAAAGGCAATTCAAATCTTCAATTATAATCACACACGTGGTAGTGAGCATTGGTTTATTATAGATCTGCGTAGCACTGAATCAGTAAAGAGATGCAAGATGACGTGGCCTTAACGGTTGCTCATATATTTAAATTCAAAAAACAGAAGGGAAGCCTAACTGCATGTGGCATAGTGGAGCTAACTACAAGGAAGCATGATCATTGATCATGGAGGGATGGTTCGACGGTTGTCATTAAGAAGTATAAATAGCAGAGAAGGCCTCAGAAAACGACCCAGACTCAGATAAAAAAAACCAGTTTTATCTACTTTATTTTTCCTTCCAGTTTTTACATTTCTTGTTCTTTACATTTCTGACTTCAAATTCCTGCACTGTATTTCGTTCATAGGAGTAGTTTTCAAGTAGCTTGTTGCTGTAAACCTCTACGAGACTGATTTGGATCTTTGTAAGTCTTTTATTTTGCTTAATGAAAAGCTACAATTGTTCTTCATTTAATCATTGTTTGTTTGATTCTCCTAAACAAAGCCACCAGTAAAAGTTCTCTTCATTGAGGCAGAAATAACTAAAACACAATCGTCTGATAATTGGTTGGCAATTAATATTTTGTAAGAACTGATTGATCCTTGCTGGCACGCTGACCAAAATAACATTCGAAATCCAAAAAGCCAACATATATTTTTGGCATGCCCGATGGGACTAATTGAAATGGCTAGACGTAGGAGACAAGGAGAAAATGAACACTTAGAAGAAGGCGTGGAAGGAGAGGTAGAAATGCCTAATCTAGAGAATAATGTGTTAACACATCCTGTGGAAGCACCTATTTTATCAGAACCTATGGTCGAACAGACCAGTACTTCAGAACAAGTACCACATGTTCAAAATATTGGGCAAGGCCAAGGAATTGGACCATCCACTGTTTCATCTACTCAGCCAATGAATCCATGGGGTGGCCTAGTAGATGCCATGGGACAGCAGTTAATGAATACAATGGAAAGGTGGGCAACATCATTTTTGGATCGAATGAATACTCATCAACCAACTAACGCAAGGTATATAGAAGAAAATTCAAATGTCCCTCAGCAAAGATTGACTAGAGATAAACAACCTATGCAGAGTAATGGACATACTAATGGTCAAACTAGTAACCAAAACCATGAAAGACCATCGCCTCAGTCTTGGTATGAGCCTCTTTCGAGGCCTGTGGCAAATCAAAATGCCTCCTTACTTAACAGTGAAGCCATGCAAATTGGTGGATTTGGTCCAACACAAGAAAATAGTATAAGGATGTTTCCAAATCCCATGTCCGAAGCCATACCTGGTACGAGGGGGTTCACTAATCCTTTGTTCGAATTTATACCTAGGGAGTTGGAAGGGTTTCCTACAACTGGAAGAGACACAACACCTGTTCCAATACCTTTCGCAAGACAGGCTCAAAGGGGTCACCCATACCCTCAACAGCAGCCAGTACCACAGGGACAACCAGTCCCAAACATACCACCTTATGGACCAAGAGGACCCTAGGCACAAGATTGTCCACCAAATCCCGTGTTTGTTCCTCCAGTAGTGGTTCAACAGGCACAAAATATGGTCCCTAGGGACCAAATTGCTGATATTGTTAGAGAGATGTGTGGACCAATGGCTCGGGAGGTTCAGACTCCTGTGTACAGGAAACCGTACCCAGAATAGGTAGATAGGGTACATGAATACCCAAGAGGTTTCAGGATACCAGACTTTGCCCTTTTTTATGGAAATGGAAACCAGTCAATGGTTGAGCATATTGCTAGGTTCGTGGCTTAGTGTGGTGAATTTACCAATAATGACTACCTGAAGTTAAGATTGTTCCCAAATTCTCTAATTGGGGCAACCTTTGTATGGTATATTAACCTTACACCTAGCTCTATCCAAATTTGGCAACAAATGGAGGAGGTATTTCATGCCCAATTCTTCCAAACAGAGCCAGAAGTGTCTATGGCAGACTTGGCAAAATTGAGTCAAAGGCCTGATGAGAAGGCTACTCAGTTTATTGCCATATTCAAAAAAGCACGAAACAAATGTAGGATCATCTTACCAGAGCCTGAATTTGTGAGGTTGGCTCAAAATAGTCTAGAGTTTAGGCTTCGAAAGAAGTTTGACTCAACTGAGTTTAGAGACTTAGTGGAACTAACCTATAAGGTGTTTAGGTATGAAGCATTACTAGAGGAAGAGCAAGATCGAAGTAATGCATCATATAAGACATATTATAGAGATCCTAATTATGAGATTGATGAGGCAGAGATTGTGAAAAAAGAACCTGTGATCTGTGAGGCATTAATTCATAAAGACACAACAATAGACCAACAGTTCAAAAAGAAAGACCTTCAAAAGGAATACTCTTTCGATTTAACAAAGGCAGATGACATTTTTGATCATTTGCTTGCGGCAAAATTCTTGAAGTTACCAAAATGAGTCAAAATTCCATCTCCAGAGGAACTCAAAGGAAAGGAAAAGTGTATTGTAAATGGCATAATTCTTGGTCTCACTCAACTAAAAACTGCATTATTTTTTGAGACAGGATCCAAGAGCAGATTCGAAAAGGGAGTTTAAAATTCCCAGTTAAAACAGAAAAGGCTATGAGGATTGACACTAATCCATTCCCAGAAATTGGAGAAATGGCAGCCAATGTTATTGTGCCAGACTTCCAGAACTTGTCCTTGAAAGAATTGGAAGAGGTCAATGTGCAAATGCATATTGCCAGCCAAACTACTGTCAAAATAGATGTTAGAAGTTTACCAGCTGTTGGGCAAGGCTTTGCAGGTCAGAAGGAAGACTCTGATGAAGAGGCACTGGATGATGATTCTTTAGAGGCGACTGTCATGCAAAGAATGTGTCTCAGGTGTAGGTTGAGCTACAAGTGGTTGAAAGGGCTTCCGATTGATGGGAAACAATATTACAAGGATGTGCAGAGGCGTTCTAAACCAACCAGTGCCTATAATAAGAGACCATATCCAACTGGTACTAGACAACAGCCATTCATGACTGAGCCAGCAGTCACCAGAATGCACTCCAAGGGCAAGAGACCTTTACATGAATTCAGACCACTCAACTATTAGAGAACGGAGGCCAATCATCCTGAGATGAGACTTGAAGTGGGCTCGAGTCATGGGATCAAAGCCAGAGAGTGGCCCCCTAGACCAGCCTCATACAAAAAGGAAAATGGCCACTTTCATGGGAGGCCTGAATTAGGCCCAAAACAAGGGGTTAGAGCCAAGCAGTGGTCTTCACAGCCAGCTTCGAAATTGATTTCGAATGAAGAAAGAGGTAGTTCGACAACTGGGTCAGTAGGTTCATGGGTACCTGGAGTTCCGGATTGGTTTGTCATGCAGAGCAAACCTAGGGAAATACCTACCCAAAGAAATGTTGTCGGAGATCAGGGCAAGATAGTTAAACCCCCATTGGTAGCTCCAAATAATTGGATGTTACTAAAGCATCCAAAAATAAAGGAACCAGATATGGTCCCAGTGATCTTTAGATTCTAAAGGAGGAAGATCCAACGAAGGTGCACTCAGTACCAGAAGGATCAGAAAGAAAGTGGAGAACACTCTTTATTGGTTTAGCCAAAGGGCCAAGCAGAGAGAGAGAAAAAGTTTAAAGTTAGATCATAATCCAAAATCAACTCTTCAAGACAAGAGGAGTTACAGTAGAGAGCAATTGACCAAAGTACATTCCGAACTGAAAGCCAAAGAGAGATCCAGTTTGGCAGGACTGGAAAAGGTTTTGATGGAAAGTGATAGTGAGACAGAGGAAGAAGTTGGCCTAAGCCAAAGGAAGGAGATGGTTGAAGAAAAAATGTTTGAAGCCTTCATGGATGAACAAACATACATTTTTGGTTGAAAAACTAGCAGAAACAGATCATTCGAAGGAATTTACGAGTACTGAAGTGCCAAAATACAACATGGAAGATGCTTCCGAAAAATTGAACAAGTTGGCCAGGAAGAGAAACAGGTACAACCAAACATCCAATTTGGCTCGTTTCCTCCAGTATCAGTGAATATAATACATATTCTACCACAAGAATTCCAAGCCGAAGATGAGAACCAAGAAGGTCAAGAAATTGACCCAATTCCAGTTTCCAGTGAAGACTCACAAGTGAGTATAGTGCAAGATAAATCCGAAGTGGTTATACCAATGGAAACTGGAGATGAGAGTGAGGAAGAGGTGAGTATTAACCTCTCATACCCTTTTGAGTATCCCACAACATCCATGACACAGCATGTCAAACCCTTGTCTATCAAGGCCTTCTTCGATGGGATACAGATGAACCGAGT